CAGACTTGGCTTAATGCGGCAATGCCTTCCTGCAGTGAACTGTACTCAGAATTCCATGTAAGCTTCCTGCACTCCCGATGGAGCCCATCGTGCCTGGAAGAGGCATGAGGCAGAGAAGAGGGCTACAGAGATGATGCTGCCGGGCAGAGATCCAGGACCCGGAGAAGCTCCTCCTCATGCTCTGCGTCTCCTGGCCAAGCTGCATCAACTTAGGAGCAGTGAGAGGGGAGGTTACAATTATTCATTCGTGTATATATAGTTTTCAGAATACGGATTACAGAAAAGACATTTGGTTTTTGGTTACTGACAAGGGGCACAGGTTGAAAACACTATTACACTCAATCATCATGGGTTTAGTCTCACAGTTCTTTGACAATGCTTTGTTCACATCTGGCTTTTTGAAGTAAGAGAGTCAATGTGTGTAATCACATGGTTGCTTTGCTCTGTGCATTTCTCTTATTCTGCAGTTTGGATGAGCTGTTTGTTTTCAGGAACTTGCCCCCTTATCCACATGAAATGAGGCATTGTGAGGGCTGGGGCTGGGGGCTCCCCTCCCTGGTGCTCCCAATGCCGAAACAGGCCAACTCAAATCAGCATGGCAGCAGCACCAGGCCCAATGCTGACACAGGAGATGGCAGGAACATTCGCACAACTAGGGGACACTGTTCTGGAAGTGCCCACCAATTGCAAGAAAATAAGGGACCTGACTGTTGGAAAGACGGAGGCCAGATTATCAAGCGTGAGCGGACGGCTGTGCACTCAGAAGAGCAGCAACAAGCTTTCTCTAGAGCAGGCGTGCTGCTGCTGCTGCTGCTGCTGCGGAACATCAAGTCAGCCTGACTGAGAAGGACTGCTCCCATTGGGGTTCCCAGCCTGCAATCGCTATGGGAAGAGACTGCCGCATCTTCCTACCACAGAGCTACTGGTTAGGCTCAGCTGCCGAGTTTTCTCATAGCGACCTAAGTGAGTTTGTTGGTTTGCTTTGGCTAATCCCATGCCATCCTAGTACTTGACAACAAGCCTCATAGGTGCAAAATATAACAGGAGAGGAACCCTCATTAATAGTAGCAGCAACAAAGAAATAGAATATAATCCGGTATAAATTTAACAAAAAATGTACCAAACCACCAAACTTTACTAAGAAGCCTGAAGATGGAATGATCTTATACAAACCCCAAACCCGATCCACTGCAGGTGAGTCCACTCCAACTTCTAGAGGCCCTGCAGCAGGGTCCCCAAACTACAGCCGGCAGGCCACATGCGGCCCGTCAGGTGTGTTTGCCCCGTTTTGTTACTTACTTCAAAATAAGATACGTGCAGTGTGCATAGGAATTTGTCCATAGTTTTTTTTTAAACTATAGTCTGGCCCTCCAACGGGTCTGAGGGGCAGTGAACTGGACCCTG